ATGTATAATAGAAGACTATCCTGATCATGACTGATAAAATATATATTGAGCACTCCAGCAATAGTATTTGTCATTTGCAACGTAATGTATTTCCTTTTCAACGCATAATTTATTATAGTAAAATATAGAAAAAGAAAGAAAAAACAAGAAATTTCTAAATTTAGATAATTATTGTAAGAAATAAAAACAAAATATCACAATAAAATTAAAGGAATTACTAGAGGCAGAGAAATCAGAGTGGTCACTTCTGGTAAACTCTTCATGTACCTAATCTTACGCCCCGCCATTAAAACTAACGACAAAAGTTAGATAAAAAGACATGATTTTAGTGATGCTAGCAAAAGCAATTTAATTGATCGGCAATACCTTTGTGAGAAGATTTGAGCAAAGTTCGAGAGCGAAACACTATCTTAATCGATGATAATCGTGACCGATTCACAGATCGAAGCCTGGTGAGTTCGAAATCAAAACTTTGCGTCGAGATACGAACTTGCAATTCGCGCAAATCGCTCGGTGGTGGAAGAGGGTTGGTAAAAAGTGTTACGGAGTGATAGATGCCGTTGGAAAGTTAAGCAAGTTTTAGATTCGTTTACAAAATTCGTCGGCTGACGAAATTACCGACTATTCCGCCGGTAATCTCGCGATACCCAACGATCAAGGGGTGGCTCGATACTAACACCCTCACCGCCCTGCTCAACCCCTTTTCGGAAAGCAATTCCTGCCCGAAAGTTCCGTTCTCTCAGTACCAATGCAGGTGGTACCGTACCAGTCGCGTGTTACTTCTGGCGTCATGTTCGATATCCGGTATGCCGCAAACTGTAGCGGCGTTCGAATACCCTTTTATTTCTACGTTCGTAAATCTCTGAACTTGGTCTTATTACGACAAAACCATTACATCCAATGCCCGGGGAACTGATATTTCCTTAAATCTTTGATTTAAACCTCGCAATGCAAGTAATTTGAATCTTCAAACAGAATAGCGATATATCAATCAAAATAAATAATTAGAAAGAGTTACTGTTACACACGCCAGTTTTCACGCATACTAATACAAGGAGAGCTCGAAATAAAATTTCTACCGTTCTTTTATAAAATTGTAAGAGAAAGAAAAATTACGATAATAAAATTAATGTTTTATATGTCAAAATAGAGAAAAATTTTACTTGTATTATATAATTCTACTCTTTTATTCGAAAGAAAGTACATTTGCCAGAGCTTTAGGGCAATAATATGCTGTGTCATGTAAAGCAAGTTGAGGAGATCATAAATCGTAAATCGGATTTAATATATATTTCTCCCCGCCGGGATATAAAATATATACTTAAATATTCTACAGCAAGAAAACAAGACATTTTAAGACGTTAATTAAATGCATTATATGCAAATACACTCAAAGTTCCTTTCTTCAGATACGCAATAAATTTTAATATTAATAGATAATAGATTTTATTCTTTACTCGTTTTCTTATTTTAACGTGGTTACATAGTGAAAAAAACTTGTCATATAGAGAACAAAGTAAGAAAAGAAGCGAGAAAAAAAATCCGAATAATAAAAAATAGTAAAGTTTAACTGTAATTCTAATTACGTACGTGTCATCACAGTCATAAATATTTAAATAAATAAATAATTGTCTTTTCATTTGTAGAATATTGCTAGAATATTGCAGTGTGCTACGCCCGCTAATATCATAACTTTCGTATGTGTAGCAGTGTAAACCGTTTTCTCGGCGCGCCTGATTACGGAGCAACATAATCATACATTTTTCGAAATGGGATAATTTTGGAGCCCTCTTTCTGCGCGAGGGTCGCTCGCAACATGAGCAATAAGGGAGTGAAAACGAAGGGGGTAGACCAACAGTCCTATCTGCAATTGCAATCGATAGTAAAGCCGCCCCGGCGTCTCCGGCGTCGGCTACGATATTTAAATGTCAGGCACATAACACGCGTTTGCCACGTCCGTAAGGGACGGGGGTACCCTAACATTTATACCCCACCTCATCCTTGTACTCCAGTCTCCACGCGAAGGGACCTTGCTTCGTCGTCTCCGCCTCGTTTTCTCCACTCGCTCTCTTCGTCGCTCCAATATCTTGAACGCGAGCGCACTGTCACATGCACTAATACGCGGTGACTGGCGCACCCGTGTGCACGACGAGATAGGAGCGAGAAAAAGGTCAGAAGGATGAGAAGCGGAAAACGAGTACGTGGGTGGAAGAGAAAAGGCAATGTTATTAAGCTGAAGAGCTTTTTGACTTTCTACGTAGCGAGTAAACACACGGCTCCATCTCAAGTCGCTACAATCCGATGTGGATGTCGTTGTTGTAATAATAGTGATGGTGATGACGATGGTCATTTTGTATTCTGTGAGACCAACGGATATTCCAGCCATAGGCACCAATGGGTCGGACCCAATTTTCCCCGAGGTAACCGAGGTCGTCCTTCTCCTTTGTGCCGATGCGCGCGAGAAAACTGTCGGCGGTAAGATCTTTGTTCGTCGGCAGACGTTATTAATCTGAGAATGGCTACTTTCGTGAGCCGAATGACTTCGCCTCTCGAATCTTCCGCACCGCCAGAGGCACAATAACGCCAATAGCCGTGCAACCGTGATGAAACTTTTGAATTCGCGTCATGTGCGTGGTTACGTTTCGTAATCCTGGCGAATGAGCAAACGATAAACTGCGACCGCGAGGCAAACAAATATGCTTTTATACATTGACACATCCTTAGTGTGTCGCTGTTTTATGACGAAACGATATTAGCAGCGTTGCGTATTATAATTCGTTTAAAAGATCTTTGCCATTGTATTTTCAACAAAGTTGTAAGTTAACGTTAATAAACAATTTCCACAAAATATACAGAAGAAATAAGAATAATTAAAAAAGTATAAAAATTTAGAATGTATAAAAAAATATATACGGTGCAGATAATTTAAATTATTCTAATTCTTTACAGCATTTTGTTTATAAAATTATTGCTTCTTTGTGTTATTTTTTAGTTTCAATATTTCAACTAAAGCTCGGCTGTCGAAACGTTAGTTCGCAAGCATGAACGTTTGCGACGAAAAGTTTCCACGGAATTGAAAAGAATGACGCGAGTATCTAGAAAACTCGATCAGATGGATAACGCACATAGAGCACGAAACTTTCGACTCCTCGCTAATAAAAGAAGTAAACAGTCTCCCCTGTCCCACTTCGCATTAGGTATTCGTGGAGATAAAGGCGCTTGAAAAGAGTGCCTCCCAATTTTCGTCAAGCATCCGAATACTCTTTCGCATCACGACGTGCGAAACCTTAACGTTAAGATCTTTTTAGAGGCGCTAACGTTATTAATCCAAGAATGGTACGGTTATATCCGGCACACCCTCGCGACTCTCCGGAATGTCGGAGGGTAGCTCGGTCTCTCGCGATGGTGGAGAGAAATAAATGACGTCACGCTTCGGCAAAAGTACTTCCCTGCGGTCTGGGATCCGACGACAAAGTTCGAGACAAAGAAGAAGAAGAAGCCACCGTTCGTGCCAAATGCCGTTGCTACCGGCTGAACACCCATCGAAGCTTGTAAGTCTGGACATAATTGGATCCCGTATTGGGACAAATAAAGAGTTAAACGACATTTTTCGATTAAAAAATTGAACGTGTATAAAACTGAAAGTATATATGAGACATTTTAAAGTATAAATATATAATAAATTTTTAATAACTTGCAATAGTGTTAATGTCACAATTAATTCTTTCCTAAAGTGCATGTTTTCTATTATTAGGCAAATAGCATTTAAGAAGAAATATTGAAATATTTCAAAAAAAGACATATTGCTACTGTGAATTTTTAATTTTATGTATAGACGTAAAAAAAATCCACAAAATCCTTCGTTTCAGAGTGTGAAGTAAATATTTAAACATATTTCTTGTTAGAACACGATTATAAAGATAAACGCATAATTAAAAACGTTCATTCTTTATTGAGCGGTCGCGCGCAATGTCGACGTGACCCAAAAGTGAGCCAATGTCCTTGCGACAAGCAAAGCGAGATAGGTAAAAGTTTATGACTGATTCCGCATGGTTTATGACTGATTCCGCACGGTTTATGACAAACATAGTAGATAATATTGAATAGACCGTAGTCACGCGCTCTTGCTTCAGGTTTCCGTTATTAAGAAAGTTACATAAAAAGAATAATGTTTTTCGCGAGATATAATTAATCCTTTCAGATATAACAAAATCGAAAAGCAAAGCTGTCAACAGTATATTGTTAATTATTACAAATGTATAAATGTTAAATACATCGTAAAAAAGAATTAATATTTATAAAAATATTAAAAATAAAAATAGGAATATTTTACATTTCGTGAGACGAAAATATCTGCAGTTAAAATTTTTGAGAGAGCGTCTATTATGTCTTCCGTTTAGTGGCGTACATCCATCACAGAATATATCCCTGAAATATCCATCGTCATTTTTCGAACCTTTTGTATATTCTCCGTGTAGCGAAAAATCCGCGATCCGATAGAACCCTTCGACCGATGAGTAAGTTCCGCTATGCGAGCTCATTGCTCTGCATACCCGCACTCGGAAGCGCGACGCAGCCGACGAATCTTTTTATCAGTGTGTACGAAGTGATTTATAGTTGGCTAGTTTTTCCCTATTTCCTACAAAATGACAAGGGAGCTAATTAACTTCGCTATTGTTGGCCCCGACCCCGATCCCTCAACCCCTCTCCCCTGCCATCCGTTCGCGGGAGTCGCAAAACTATTATTACTCACGCCATGTTACTTCGCGGTAATTAACGAACATGGCTGGAATATCCAACGGCAGAGGGGCCAAATTCGCTTTCGCTGACTGCCGTGCAACTTTCAGTTCCGCTGTCTCTTGCTGAGCGTTTCCCATTCTGATGGGACAACATCGTGCAACGCGACGCTCCATCAACCGGAAAAAGGATTTATCTATTCCGTGGGAAAGCGTGATCGAGCGAGTTGTGTAATACACAAATTTCGGAAGTGATTAACTTACTTTCCGTTGAGTCATTGTTAAACAAGGGGGAAGTTCCAAAGGAATTGTTTCTCTACAAAGTATACACCGTGCTTACCTGAAACAGAAAAAAATGGCAAATAAATATTACATATATTTTAGCACAACGTTACAATTAATATGAACAAATGAATAAATTGCAATACAGAGAGAATACAATATATCGACTTATAGACACATACGTGACTAAGACGTGCGCCTTTTAAAAACAACATAATTTAGCATTTAAATGTTTACGCAAGCTCATCGAGGAGTCAACTCGTAGAAAATAAAAAAAAGCTACTCAAGATCAAAATCAACGCATGAAAGTAAGGACGGACGAGAACGTGGCCGGAGGTGAACAGCGTAAATTTTCGTGTAACGCGGAGTAAACTTGTAAATAATTAATTAGTAATACGAGATGGGGGTTGCTAAGAGCCGGTTGGCTCGGACCATCCTTTCTGGGCCGCCTCGACAGCCACGATGCTCAGGTTTGAAATTGGAGTCCCCTTCAACCACGGGGATCCCCCCGTTCCCCGAGCCCGTCTTCGAATGAGGCACGCGAGGAGATGTCGACCACGTACCCTCGCGCTCACCTTATTATGCTAATTATTTAAATCCCCCAACGCCACATTATGTTAAGCCCCGGCGCACTTGGCAACGTGTCCTGTGTATGTGTATAAATCATCGTTATATCCTGCGCCTCGTTAAGAAAGTAAAGAGGTTGCTATACGGCTTGCTGTGTCGTACCCGACGATAATATTACTCGATGTAACGTAATTAATTTGTGAATATCTTATTAAACATGCAAGTTGGTTTTCAAAATTTATTCTTCGTTATTATATACAATTAATGTACAAAATAAAACGATATTGATGGCTACTATTATTTTTTTAAATTTAACCGTTACCATAAATCAATAAATTTAATCAAATTTTTAATATGTTAGAAATTAATGCGTAAGCAAGAAATAGCCTCCACATAAATAGCACAAGTTATATATTATGCAGCACTTTGCAAGCTTATCCGCACACAGTCGACTAAAGTCACTTGCCTGTGCTAACGTGAACCTTGAAAAGAAAAATAATAGAGACATATGCAGCAGAGTGTAACTAACTATCCATTGAAAAAATTTCCGATGACATCATAGATACGGACACGCGCACAAAAGTTCCGAGGACGCAGAGAAAATCGCAAAACTAGAGAAACTCTAGAAATATCACAAAGCTGCTCGAGCGTTTATCGGCTAAGCAAGCAAACAAGACGAGGCGGGAGGAGAAAAATACATTCGCCGACCGTAGTCGCGAGCTCGCGCACGATATATCGAAGCGAAACGTGAGAGAGATACACGCCGAGAGGGTCAGTCCGCCCACGACCTTAGTTTCACATGCCCGGCGCATTTCGGAAAACTCGAGTTCAGCCAGGCTTATAGTTGAAGTTTGATACGACGTTGACGGTGTGCGCGTTTAGTGAAACGGGTGGGAGTTTCTACGCGGCATGAATAAACATTTTTAGGGTCGTAAACCGTTTCCTCCGTTTTTTAAAGGGTCGCCTCACCTCTGGCACCAACTCGTGCCAGCAGCTCTCGGAGGCGCGAGCGCATGGCCATTAGTATGGCGGGTGGCGACGGCGAAACGAAGTGTCGCAATGGAAATTATGGCAGCCGCTGCACCCGGCTTGGTTGCAGCTGCAAGGAGACGCGTTGAATCGCGCCTGAATGCCCGAGTGACATCGGCTTAACGATCCGTTGCTCCGCGACGATTTAGCGCGTATTACCGAAGAATACCGATGCAAGGCGGATATTCGGTATCGGCGCTTTCGATCGCATACGACACGACGATTTATTATTACGATATTTCCGATCCCCAACCCTGACATTTTCAATTCTGTTAGAATTCTACTATCGAGATAAGCAATGTTGCGTATTGTTCGGTAACACGCAAAGCAGATTCGAAAGCATGGACGTGCAAAAGGACTAACCCGCTTGTGGCGTTTTGAATTGCACATCGAAATAATATGCTCGAATGCAGACCGCGCTGATAGCGTATAGTTCAATGGCGCATGTAATAAGCCATTATATCGTTTCCACAAATCTGATACAAAGTTTTGGTGGAAACTCGAAACGTGGAGTTACATCGGGAATCAGGTGGGCGCGTGCGCGCGCTCTTCGATGTTACAGCTACGAGAAAGCGTACTGAATCAAGCTAAATAGCATTGAGCAAAACACCTGTTTGCCTACGTTGCAGTTTCAAACGATCCCATTTGCCCCATTACGGAATTGATCGTAAAACATTATGCGATTTATTTTATTAATACAAATGGATGGAGAATGAGCCAATCCAATCTGCTACAATAATTTTGGAAGGACATTTTCATGATTGAATATTTTGCGCACGTTACAAAAATTACATTTTATCAGTATTGTTCTCATTTATCGCAATAACCGGAATAAAATTTTATCATACCGATCTAAGCCAATGCATTATTCTTTCTTTATAATTCTTTCTTCAATTTTCATAATCTTCTTTCTTTTTCTTTTTCAAAAATAATTGCTTATAGAATATTAAAAACAGTCTACTATGTCATTCGTGAACGAAGACTAGTTTATTAAAAATGCTCCATATTCTTTTAATAAGATTAATAAAAAGCTTTTTACGCATCTATAATTTTCTTTAGTTAAACTTTTTTAATCATCCGATCATTTTCTCATCTAATTACTGGGGAAATCTCAGCTGCGCAGTATATAGGTTAAAACGAAAGAAAGACGAGAATAATTCTCTGATAAAGTATTTTAATCGTAAAACCCGAATTGCCCTCTCCGTTCCGACGTTGATCATCTTCCGCATGATATTGCGGCCTCGTGATTCTATCCCGAAGTTTGCCAGAAACAGCAATACGCGAACTTATGATGGAAATTATGCCTGGCTGCCGCAGCTGCCGAGAGAAAGAAAGCGAATCAAACTTAATTTCGCACGGACACCTGACTACTGCCGTAGACCGATGTCTACGCGTATAACTGATAGTGAAATATCATTTCGCAATTTCGTTTAATTAAAATCTGATTCAAAGTTTGCAAAGAACAGCCATCGCGCCGCCCGCCAGCCCGAATAATACTTCGTTACACCGGCTGCGGTTAATGCATCAGCGAAAGAGTTCGATCCTGCGCTTCTCCGTTTCGCCTTCCTCGACTGATTCTCCGTGTCTTTCTTCCGTCGCTTCCGCTGCTGTTCTCCCTCGTTACATTCTCCGTCGTTGCGAGAGGTAGACGATCGTCTCCGTCTGAAGACGACTGAGTTTTGTTTACAATAACGAGTGATATTGTATATAGTCTCAATATAGTCATTGCAATTATGACGAAAGTTGGTGGAAATGATATAGTGTTACAAAACGCGATATTCAAAATTATGTATATAATTTAATACAATAATTTGTATGTAAAATTCGCAATGTTAATTTATAAATTTATCAAGTACGTTCTTAACAAATTTAACTTTTGCATTCTTATTAAAAGTTTTTAAAAATTAATAATAATCAATATAACATTTGATAATGAAAGATAACTATAACTAATTGGATTCTAGAACAGTATTTCCCGTTGCAGTTCTCGCTCTACCGGCAAATTGTGTTTTTATATACGCGAGTTAACCGTGACTGGAACAACCCCACGAAATTTGCGGCTCTTATGAGCGCCAACAAGAGCGAGTGGATGCACGTAATAATGAGTAATTTCGGGAGCAGTACGCGGCGCGTGGAGCAGCCTAGGATTTATTACACGCTTTAGATCGCTGCAAATAGTTGTTGAGCTGAAACACCATCATCCGACTTTCCCACAACAATAACGCTTTCACTTTATACTGTTCGTCTCGACAAGTTCTACGATGCAACGAAAAGTATTCGATTCTCTAAATAATAAATCGATATCAGATTTGTTTCATAACGCGTAAAAGCGTGCTGAATTATTGCTAGAATTAATGAAAAATTATCGATCCATTATTTATCGCGTTCATGTATGCTTGACGTAGTGCGGTTAATAAAATTGTTTGTGAAAATTTTTCACGTTATTCAAAACGTCGTTAAAGCGCACGACGTTTGCGAGAAATAGAATCTACAACCGAAATCTACCAATCGAAATACGCCATTTAGAGTCTAAAGAAATGCCATTTTTCAAAATACTGGAAGTCAGTTTCAGGAATAATCAGATAAAATCCAATGCATTTGATCATCCAATCTGTACACTAAAAACTTTCGTCTAAAAATTATAATATTAATATTAATTTAATAATTGATCTCAAATACTTATTAAAATTAAGAATTCTGTATTCCGTATGAAGGTTATCACTTTTACTTTTTTGTACTTAAGCTCCTGATTTCTAAAATTGAACATAAAAACTTCCTAACTGGCTTTTAAAAACCTCCCTATTTGGGTCTTCACGAACGATTCTTAAGACTTTACTATGATGAAGTCTTATGATGTACCCGAGATGACGTCCCGCATTACCAATAATACTACAAACACGCGTCCCTTAAGAGATGTCCTAAAAGTCTCGCGCAATAAAAGCCGGTACCTATAAAATATCGCCTCCGCCGCCCTTTCCATCCCTTCTCCCGCCGCCATCGTCCCATCGGTTATCCATCCGTGGTCCCCGGTCGGATGAGACGTAGGTACATAAAGTGGGTACTCCGGCGGATTGAAATATAACCTGGAATATTTCTTTACGCCAGCGTCCGATACGTATACCCACGATATGATACTTTCTTACGATTACACTTTGACTTTCATACGGCGCCGCGTCGACGTTTGACATAGTACGGTCTCGCCACGTCGTACCTCGACGGCAAGTTATTAAAAAGATATGTACAATAACACCTATCATCGTTATGTATCGTCAGGAAACTGCAAATTAATATTAAAACAGCCATCGTGTTAATATTACAGGCATCGTTCCGTCGAGGCATTGAAGAAAGTGGTCAGCGAAACTTTGAGGCATCACGTTGACAATCGTAAAGCAAGGGAAAATTGCATTCCACGCTTTTGTCAAGTTTCATATAAACCATATGATTTTCACAGAGATCTCTCGC